TTTTTTTCGCATAATTTAGTCTAATTATATTAGTTTTTAAAATAGCTAATTTATTAATATATTTAATATACCATAATACCGTTACAAGGTTGAGTGGACTTTCAACTCATAGTTTACAAGAACAAGTATTATACAGCTATTTCAAAAAACATTGTCAGGAAGAACGGCAAACGGCGATTGTCAAAGGGAGATTCCACGACCAATTGGGACTCTGGTTACACTGTTTTGAAAAACAAAATTTCACCTGGATTCACCTTACATAGAAATGGAGACTAAATGGAGTTAATGTTTACCACAGACTACACCTAATTGAAGAAACTTTGTCGGGTCCAAGAAGGTCAAATCATAGAAGCTAAGACCGAAGGGGTACTTGGGAAGACAAACAATTTGTCTAATTTCATACAAACAGCTCTCCAGCATAAAAGACTAGCATGCTATTAATCTTACTAGCTCTAGTTGCTTTACCGTGCACCATGTTGAACACCGTATACGCAAATGTAATCCCAATTTAGTGGTACCCAAAATCCCTTTRGGTCTTAGCTTCTATGATGTGARSTTTTCGAACACGACTARGTTTTTTCAATTAGGTGTATCTTGCAGACCTATAAATCAGTTGTTATTGCCTTTCAACTAGCAAAACCCATGGTTACTTTCAGTCGTGCATTTGCCGTTCGACTGTTGACATTCCCCATTTTATCCGACAACCTTTTTGGAATAGCTAAATATGTTTTTTATCCACCAAACTACAGAGCAAATTTGAAAAAAGAATATAAAGAACAAATGTTTCTCAACATTTCTGTGACTACTTTCACTAGATTCGTTGTGACTATGGTATAAGATTATGCCATAGTTTGTTAGCCAATCAAAATGCTAGATTTGTTATAGCCCATAGTTTGGTGAATACTAAATCTAGGATATTACATAGGCATGCAGAGATATAGATTTTATATTTGAGTATTGGAAAGATCTCTCAAAAGTAAACATTGAAAAATTTGAGGCTAAATAGCAAACAGTGAATTTTTAAAAGCTCTACTAAATAATGCTTGTCTTTTAATTTGTACTAAAAATCTCATCGAATCATTTAAATTATATTTATATCATATCAATTTTGTTCACTGAGGAGCTAGAGAGCTTCATTTTCATCTTGGTTTTTGAGTTTTAGGGGCTCTTCTGATTTGCCCTCATCAAGTTCTATGCTATTTCTAGTATTGCTAGGTTTATAATATCTACCAAAGAGGTATATTGCTGCAAAGGTAAGGAGACAAAGGCAACTCAAGGTCAAGACTGAGTGCATTAGTGTACATGTACCTATAGATTTGAAAGTATTTCCAACAACAACTGGTACTATCATCCCACCAACACATGCACCAACAAAAAGGAACGACGTTAAACGTCCAGATACTGCCTGGAAAGTATCCACCCAGCTCATCATTGACGCAAATATAGATGATGCTGAAATTCCAAGAATAACTGTCCCTACCCACAGTTTTGTGCTTGATTGCATGTTGCATTCACTGTGCTGRGAGACCAGTATTGKGCTTGCAATAATACATCCTATAATATCAATGAAAAGAATGCTGTGTGGTTTCAAATATTTGGCTAATGCGACGGAGATGAATCTTGAAAATGCAAATGTTCCCCAAAAGGTTGCGGTCAACAGTGCTGCCCTGTCTTGAGTCATGTGTGGTTTGGATTTAACAGCAAATGTGAAGACAAAACCACCATAGGTTTCTTCAACGGCAACATAGAAGCAGACAAACATGAAGAACAAAGCAAGAACAACGCCTGTGAACACTTTGTTGTTGGAGTGACTTGCTGGARGCTGTTGCTCTTTCTCAACTGCTTCATCTTGCAGTGATTTTAGGAAAGCACAGACCAAGAAGAATACTCCAGCTACGACACAGGGTATTGTGCCAAGCCAGTAAGCCCAAGCRACACTTGGTATGTCATCTTGAATACTTGCTGTAGCATTTGAGGTTAAATTMGTGATGCTTTCTGGAAGGAGAAACGGTTTGGCAAGCAATGGTGCAATTAATGCTCCAATTGCATAGGTAAAGTGCAGCATTTGCATGTATGGTTGKGACTTTTTTGGCCACAGAATGAACAGGATGACATTACCAGCTGAAAGAGAAAAGTTCAATGGAAATGTTTCTCATATTATAATAGAGTGACATAATGTTGTATTCATCAAATAAAAAGTAGGCAAACTGTTATCCTATATCAACAGCATTTTTATCTGCATATTTGCATGCAATGTCACAGCACTTCCATTCATTCATTTGAATCAGTATTTTCATTTGGAGTCKCTAGTYTAAGGCAAGSCTCTYTGATCATGCCTTWTTTGTCTGTGCTYTGATCCATGCCTTTGCACAATCATACAAAATCCACTTTATGATACCAAATACCCAAATATTGTACATTAACATACCTGTATCTAACATTGCAGAACATACAGACATAGCTGATCCAATTGCTATCAAAGCATAAACACTTTTAACCAAAGGAAAAACTATCATTGCCAACACCATTCCCAATGAAGAACCTCCAAGCACTAAATACTTGTTGTACCTGTCAAATAACCATCCTCCTATGACAGTACCCACCAAAAACCCAATTGCACGTGCCGTAAACACATATGACATTTGTGCCAGGTCTGACTTGGTGTGGTAGGCAAGGTCAAGGATAGTTGGACCATACATTGTGTTGGAAACTCCCTGTAGTGTATAAAAATAACAAAAATATTAGTGAGGATACAAAAATTTTACGACAATGCCAAAGTGCATAGTGACTGAATATTATACTAATCCAAATATTAGTCACTTAATATTTTCTTTCAATTTTTTAATTCAGTTTGTCTGGTTCATAGAGTACAGTTATTATAGCCGACAAAACAGCTCTAATAGAGGGGAGGGAGGGGGAGGGAGTTTGGGAAAGGATAAAAGTCTTTTCTTTTTTTCCCATCCTTTTCACTCACTGCCAGGACTCCAAGAGGAAGCAGAGGAGAAATCCCAAGGGAAGACTTCATAATTGTCTAGACAAAACAATTTGAAAAGATTATGGGATTACCAGAATTATCACGACAGATTTTTAAATTAAACGAAATCAACCAATCAGAAATTGCTTTTTCTCGCAGATGCTGGTCCATCGTCGACTGAGCGTGTATTGCTCACGTGACGATATAATCCAGGGATTATTTTTTGCCACATAGTTTTTGCCAACGTGGCAACTTCTCTCTAAATAAATAATTTCATATTATTAAACTTAAAAACTTTAGAATATAACCTGAATCCGATCTATTTCCCTATAAGATTGTCTAACACTCAGGGATGTTTTAAACTCTATAAGATTTAACTTATATAAGTTAGTACTTACTGTAAGTTAAAAGTTAAGCTTACTGAATATGCGTCAAAATGAATAAATCAAAGATAATTCATTAATGGATTAAGCTATATTTTATTATGCGTAGTAGATGGATCAAAGTGATTAATTGGCTTAAAATAAAACTTAAATCGAGGTACCTTACCAAGCCTATAAAGGCAAAAAATAGCCAAAACGTCTTCGTGTATCTGATATAGGGGTAGCAACATGGCTTCCCTTTCAAGGTCGATTCTTCTTTGGTTGGACTAGCTATCCCTTCGCTGCATAATTCTTCATTAAGAGAGCCGTTATTTGATCTTTGTTGTTTTCCTTCTGAAGGAGAATGTTGAATGAATTCGACCTTTTCGTCGTTCTGCAGTTCTGACATTTCTTCTTGCTCTTGCTCTTCCGCCATTTTTACCGGTGTAGCAAACACCACAGGTAGCCCAAACATATTATCAAGAAACGATGGTGCAATCTGCCACGAAACATGTTCACTTTTTACGCATAAATAAATCGACGAGTAACTGACGATTTACGCAAACTATATACCGCGTTTTTATTCGATAGTACAGATAACGATTTGAAGGACTCAGGTAAACTCGTTAAAAAGGTACCGCGTGAGTCTTTTGAAGGGCGTTACCATTTAATTATTAATATTTCTCCCTTTTAGAGTCAGCCACCCCCATTTGTAAATCCATAGAGTTTTTCGAGCTATTATGAAGCCTATTCATAAAATTTACTATAAATTATTTTTATTTGCACATCCGGCTAACTAACTCAACGTTTACAAAACGTGTTTAGATTCTTGATAGTTTTTATTTTTTAGCCGTTGTGTTGTAGTATAGCCTTCGTTTTTTTTCATTATCTGTTTCATTTGTTTGTTTCTTTGCTTCATCAGTTTCATTTATAAACATTCAGGTGTGTGAAAAAACGTTTCTGCAACAAAATATGTCGAGTATATAAGAGTCAAGAAAACATTCGCGTTTTTGAAACAGCCAAAATTAATTCTTCTTGTCGGTTTCCCATACCAGGTGCGCCTTGACAGATATGCCTTCTTCATATATCTTTGTTGCAATCTCTGTTCATCCAGCTCGCTTCAATACTAACAACATTGAAAATGACTTACATTTTTACAATTTACAACGAAGTACACAAAACTAAACCCCGCCCGAAACCCTACTCAATGTTGCCCAATCAACATGGCTAAGCACACTGGGATTTCAATTAAACTTATGATTTCAATATTTTGCTCATTGAAGAGCTCAAAACTTCATCGTCATCTTACTCTTTGATTTTTGGTGTCTCTTCTGGAAGTTACTCTGCTTGTGAAACTCCCAACTCAATGTTACCCAATCAACATGACTACATAAGTAATTATTTTGAGCAATATCTCTTTTAAAATACTTGTTTTTCAATTTCCGTTAAAAATTTCATTATTTTGTTCATTGAGGAGCTTCAGAACTTCATCTTCATCTTGTTCTTTGGGTTTTGGTGGCTCTTCTGGAAGTTTACTCTTTTTGTGAAATTCTATACGAGTTGTAGAAGTGTTACTGGACTTAAAATGTCTGCCAAAAAGATGGATGGCAGTGAAGGTAAATAGACAGAGACAACTCAAAGCGAAGATGGAGTACAACAGCGTGCAAGGACCTATAGATTTAAAAGTATTTCCAACAACAACTGGAACTATCATATCGCCAACACAAGCTCCAACGATCAGAAACGACGCCACACGACCAGATACTGCCAGGAAATATTCCACCCAGCTCAATGTTGACGCAAATATAGATGATGCTGAAATACCAAGAATTACTGTCCCTGCCCATAGTTTTGCGCTTGAGTGAGTGTCGCATGCGGTGTGCGCTTGTGAGAGAAGTATTACACTGGCGATGAGACATCCTATAATATCAATGAGGAGAATCTTCTGTGGCTTTAAGTACTTGGTTATTGGCACAGAGAGAAGTCTTGCAAATGCGAATGTTCCCCAGAAGGTTGATGTTAAAAGAGCCGCATCACCTCGACTCATATGCGGTTTGGACTTTACAGCAAACGTAAAAACAAATCCACCATAAACTCCTTCAATACCGACGTAAAATAGAAAAAACAGAAAGAACAGAGCGAGAACAATGGCCGTGAAAACCTTATTGTTTGAGTAACTAGCTGCAAGCTGATGTTCCTTCTTGATGATTTCATCTTTAAATGATTTTAGGAAAGCACACGCCAGGTAAAATATTCCAGCGAAAATACAAGGGATTGTACCAATCCAATAAGCCCACGTAACGCTGGGAATGCCATCCGGGTCGTACCCATTCACTGTGGCATTTGATGTTGAGTTGGTCACGCTTTCTGGGAGAAGGAATGGCTTGGCAAGCAACGGTGCAAGAAATGACCCAAATGCATAGGTGAAGTGCAACATTTGCATATATGGCTGTGACTTCTTTGGCCAGAGAACAAACAGAATGGCATTACCAGCTGAAAACAGAAAACACTAAATTAACAAGAAGCCTCGGCTCTTCATTTCGGAACGCATTCAGTTGCAAGCTGCACCGCCACTGACCAGTATATATCCTGACCCCTTAAGCAGCTTCCAAATCAAATCTCAATGCGAGTCCTTCTTCAAAACAACTAAAGTTGTTTATCTGAAAAAATGCATTTTTTTCTCATTAAGTCCTCCCTCTTACGACGTCCTGGATCCGCCACTGATTCTAACCAAAACATACCTGTGTCTAATATTCCAGAACATATTGCCATTGCAGATCCAATCATTATCAAGGCATAGACACTTCTAACCACTGGAAACACTACCATTCCTAATACAATTCCCAATGAAGAGCATCCTAGTACTAAATATTTGTTGTATTTATCAAACATCCAGCCACCTCCAATGCTACCAACTAGATAACCAAGAGAGCGAGCCGTAAACACATACGACATTTGCGCAAGGCGTGATTGGGTGTGGTAGGCAAGGTCAAGAATAGTTGGTCCATACATAGCACTGGAGACGCCCTGTGCATAAGAAAGAATAGGTTTTAAAATAACACGGAAACTATATAGAGGATATTACATGTGCACGAGGAGATACGGATTTTATCTTGGAGTGTTGAAAAGATCTCTCACGAGTGAGCTTAGCGAATAAAATTCGTATCTCCAAGCGACCCTGTAATATTCTGTTTATCATATAATTACATATGAAAGCATATTAGGTCATATTATGTCGTAAAATACCTTTTTTCTTACTTTAACTATGTAGAGAAACCTCAAATTTTCACTAGTGAAAATATCAATTTTACGAAATGGAGAAAATATAGGTATTTCATACATAATTATATGATAAATTCATCAGTAATACAAAAATATAACGCAAAAGAGAATTTACATTGGATAAGCTGCTTGCCTGCGTTGCAGCGCTAAAGGAAGACAGAGGTAAAACTGTTGGGGGTGAGGAGGGGAAGTATGGAAAAATTGACTCTTTTCACCATTCTCTCTTTCTGACTATTTTTCGGCCATTTTGACTTTCCCCTCTACAATTATCATTCACCTTCATGAATAATGCAGTAGCTTTCGAGTGTCACGCAATATTTGTAAACGTGGCAGACTTCGATAAACTTTCAGGGCAATTCAAGATTGATATTTGCATTGGAATGCATGAAAAATCAAATCAGCGCTGGCAGCTCTGCTTAAAATAATTAAATTCATAGGCTTGTCTACTCTATTGCCGTCAAAAATGAATTATTCATGTCATCAATAATTCGTGTATAAAAAATAGATTATGTATGGGTACAAAAAAGACTAACTTTACGCATATTATCGACCTACGAAGCTTACCAAGCCAACGAACGACAAGAATAAACAGAATGTCTTRATACATCGTATGTACGGGTAGTAAAATGGCTTCCCTGTTAAAGTTGATTTTTCTCTTGGAGGARGTCTTTCGCTAGAGACGTCTTCATTGAGAGAACCATTCTCTGTTCTGTGACGTGTCCCTTGTGGTGGCGACTGTTGGATAAATTCAACTACTTCGTCTTCTTCATCGTTCCACTCGCGAAGCACTTCTGCCAGTTCGTCTTGCTGAAGCAGGGCAGACTCCGCCATCGAGATCACTCAAAAAACACAACTTTTTAGTGAATTTTCAAATGTTTTCTTTTGTTACTAGTAGATGTATGTTTTTGTCAAGGATCCAAACTGAGACGCAAAATTATTGACGTTTCGTATTTCAAAAAAGCTAGAGGCATCAAATGACAAGATCAAAGTTGACAGACAAAAACAAAACTGTCTTTT